TTGCCTAGTCGTAGTCTTAGTGGCACAGTGACCGACAGCTGACTATCATCCTCTCGTTCAACGTCCACTCTGTGGAGGCCAACCTTCAGGGGAGGGTTTCAGAGTCTAGGTTTAGGGTTCGTTCAATGGTTGTCGGCTGACAGCCATTGAACCCGGGCTAGTAGGGCTGTTTAATGGGGGCCATAATTAAACCACACACCCTGGAACCCTGCTGTGCACTAGGGCTGTTTAATGTCTGCCAGCTGGCAGTCATTAAACCTGTTGACTGGCTCCTAATTGAGGGCCATTAAACCACACACCCTTAAGCCCTACAGCCCAAGGGAAGGGTCGCTTGTCAAGTTGCAGGGGTCCTACCACTGAGGGTGCGCAGCTTTAACCAAATATGCGTCTTCGATGGCGGTGGTAGCGGTGGCGCCTGTGTCTGTTGAGCATGAGTGTGTCAGTGTGTGAGTGAGTGATCACAGAGAGAGAGAGAGAGACAGAGGACAGATGGATTGATCTATCAGAAGGTATGGATTGGGCTTTAGCCGGCTGGCACCACATGTGGGCACAACCCGCCGCACAAGACAGAAGATAAACCCATACAAAGTCAACTGTGTAGTTCCTAAAAATCTGGACCCCGGACCCCGGGCAGCAGGCTGTGGAATGCAGCAACGCAGTGAAGTTCGGCAGCCTTTACACTATGGTCTCGACCCCTTTCTGCATTCTCCAACCTGAATCGAATGCGACGAGGCATCATTCCTGATCCAGCAGAGGCTGGAGAATTCAGGGTTTTGGGGTTTTGGGATTAATGGCCGCCAGGATGGCGGTCATTAAATTCACGGTTAGCGGCTTCGCAGTCAGCATGCTCCCCTACCTATCGGCTTAAGCTTCCATTCCTTGCAGGAAAACTTCGACCTGAGCTCCTTCCCGAAGCCGTCCCGTGCGCCTCATTACTAGGGCTGTTTAATGCCTGCCAGCCGGCAGTCATTAAACCTGTTTAATGGCTCCCACTTAGGGGCCATTAAACCGCCTACCCTTAGACCCCTTGTTTAATGGCGACTTATTGGTGGCCATTAAACGACTAATCGGCATGAAGTCCTGAACCCTGAGACCTGCACCCTGAAAAACACCAAACCCGCCGGTGGCGCCTATACACTGTAGGCTCTTCCGTTTGATCCGCTCTGCTTCACCTCCGCTTCCGGTCCAGGCAACTTTGAAGTTCGGGTGACAGGTCTCGTTGTTGGGAGGTTCGACTTGTACAACAGAGAAGCCCAAAACCCTTAAGCAAACAAATCCTGCAATCCGCCGTTCTACTGAGCGAAACAAGGGCCTGTGCAACGCGCCGGCTGTTATTTCGGAGCTGGGCGCCCAGCTCCGAAATAAGGATCGGCGCGGGGCGCCTGAGGGCACAAAGGTCTGATCAGCGATGATCGCTGACGGCCGGTTATGCTAAGTTAGCGCCACGCGCCGGTTGTTATTTCGGAGCTGGGCGCCCAGCTCTGAAATAACAGCCGGCGCGTGGCGACTGCTCTTAGTGTCGCTTCCAAAAGATCCGCTGGATCTTTTGGGATATATCTCGGTTGTTTTGCAATGGCAATAATAATTCTATATTTATGAGTTCATTCTAGCCTAAGGTTACAAACCCCGGAGAGCATAAGCAGGGCACAAAAGAGCATAAGCAAAAGAGCATAAGCACAAAAGAGCATAAGCAAAAGAGCAGAAGCAGAAAAGAGCGTAAGCAAAAGAGCATAAGCACAAAAGAGCATAAGCAAAGGATCATAAGCAAAAGAGCAGAAGCACAAAAGTGCATCAGCAAAAGATCACAAGCAACAACAACAACAACACATGCGCGCAAACTTCGTTCACCTGCACAACCGCACAGTGTGTCAGAGAGAGAGAGAGGGAGCGCAACAACAGCAGCAACAACAACAACCACAACCACAACCACAACCACAACCACAACCACAACCACAACCACAACCACAACCACAACCACAACCGCAACCGCAACCGCAACCGCAACCGCAACCGCAACCGCAACCGCAACCGCAACGACAACAACAACAACAAAAAAATCAGTCCGGGTCGCCGACCCAAGCCCCTAAATTTTCGGAAAATTTTGGGGTCTGGGTCGGCGACCCAGGCCCTCAAATTTTCCTACACTTGTAGTGTTTAGAATCTATATATCGCGGGCCTGAGCCTGAGCCTGAGCCTGCTCCTGCTCGTCTCAGACCTAACCGAACCAAGATCTAAGACGAATTGTCCGAATTCAATCACCATGCTCATAATAATCATTCCTGACCCCATCAATATGCTCTCCATCCTGGCCCCGGGCCCGGCCTCACACCAACTACAGAAAAATGCGCTGAATCTCGTAACAATCATCAGGGTGAAGCAGTGAGACCTGAATACCAACTGAAGTGACACACGCCCTATCGACACTACAGTCGGCAGGCATTAAACAGCCCTGCTAGCCGTGGTTCAATGGATGTCAGCCAACGACCATTGAACAAACCCTAAACCGTAGACCCTGAAACCCCTCCGCGAAGGTTGCCTGCGCGGGCGGGAGCAGGACGATGATGATGATGATCAGCTGCCGGTCACTGCGTCACTAAGACTAGAACTAGGCAACCAACGTTTAATGACCGCCAGCAGGCAGCCATTAAACAATTCAAAGATCTGAATTAACACTTGCCAGGTGGCAAGCATTAAATTCACGTTTAATAGCCATCGGTTGACAGCCATTAAACAGCTAGCCGAAACCCCTAACAACCCAAGAGCTCGTGCTGGGGGCTTTTGGGGCTTGGAAGGCTTATTGCTCTGGGCAGTGAGGGCTTTAATACGGATACTATCCTAGCCCAGGCTTTCAAGCTCCATTACGGGCATTTAGGATTGAATCCTTACAACCCAGATACCCCTCGGCGCTTCAACGGTTTTCACTTGGGGTTGGGGTTTGGCTTGAATCTGAGGATGCCTGCTGGTCTGGGAACAATGCAAAGATGGTTCACTCGTAGAGCTTCAGGCTTCGACTTGGGGTTTAGTTTGGGGGCTGCTTGTCGATGACAGCAAAGCAGAAAGCCCCAAGACGAAGAAACCAATGTTGCTAAGGTTATCTACACGTAATATGTATATATATATACACATATATACATATCATGTGGATATCAGACTATATACTATATGCATGTTTGCACATCAGTCACATAAGTTGCTGCAAGGCAATGTTTACGTATGATTGTCTTTGTGTCTAAGTTACTTATATGCACACACAAAACGCAAGTCAAAGAGTGGAAAAATAGAGACTAGAAAAAAATTTCATACTTGCAAAATTTCGCGAAAAAAGCATGCTTTTCTGTATACGAAAACATCCATGCTGCCGAAAATTGTTTGACATCCTCTGCTCGAAACAAACCGTTTCTTGCCTATTTTTGGACCAAGATACCGGTATCAAAAACCATTGTTTGCTTAAGCTTTTTTGCTCGTTCCCTGTTGTGTTTTCGAACTCCTGAAACGGATCTTTCGGACCCTTCCTAAGCAAACCCAAGCATGTTGTGTCGAAACTACCTCGCATGAGCTTCTGCACTGATGTGATGCCACGCGAGTGTTTGTCCTGACTATACATGGAGCCGAGCGAAGCAATTTCACATTATGGGGTGTTAGCAAAGTTTGGGGTTCCTTTTCTTATTGTCAGGACCCTGTTGTTCAGAGCCTGTCCACATGCCTGGCAAACTGCTTACAGTGTGTTGCTGGATGTAAGCTTTTCCTTACTCTTTTCCCATTAGTTTGCATATTCGCATGTTTTTGCCATCGTTTTTGGAATGCTCAACAGCCCGTTTGCGCTTGAGAGTCTGCTTACAGGTGGTTGCAATGTAAGATTCGCATCATTTTCAGCCATTGAAGATGTCGGACACCAGGCGGGAGTGGCATTCGGACCAGCGCGGCATGGGTCTTGTCACAGGATATTGGTCACGTTGCTGCAGGCTTGGGATCTGGAAACAGGCAACAGAAAGAATTTCTCAATGTGGCGTTGAGGTGACGTTTTACGGCTTGAAGCGAGTTGGTGTGTGTGTGTGTGTGTGTGTTTCAGAGGAACTGAATCTCCGATGCGTCTAAACATTATTACACCTCCTACCCTTAGCCCAAGATCCGAAGCCAGAAAAGGCCGGACCTTCAATATGGGGGCAAACAGATTCAGACTGATGTCGCCTTATAGTCTTCATTCAACAATGTTTTAACACGCTCCAAACTAAAGTCTACATATTAAAGGCCCTTTGCCGAACAATCCTATCCTCTTCTGGCAACGCAGTTCATTCGCCTTGCTTGGATTTCAGGCAATTCACGTAAATCGGGTAGATAGGGTCAGATATATCCTGCACAATAAGCTTGCAGTTTACAGCCTAGATAAGTACCAACACTATTTTGGGGATTCTTTATTGCATTTCAGTATAATGGGCCCCAAAACCCTTTTCGAATTATTACGGCCCCTACATTAGTTTCAGGGCTCGGGCGCATGAAGTTGTTTGCGCTCGCCACAGCATGTCGCACGTGGCCATGAGTGCCATCAGAGCTTCTGCAGCAACGTAGCACGGCCTTTTTGGAACCGTTACAGCACCCCGTATCGTAAGCTGTATAGTATATTATCGTACCCCGAAAAGCAACCCCTACATTCATACTGGCATTACCGTCATCGGGGCCCGCGCCCCGTTCCTCCAAATTCGGATGCGTTGAATAGTGTGACCCCCTCCGCGCGCGGCGTATGGCTTGGGTTCGAACTAGAAGGGTACTAGTTCTAGGATGTTAAGGTGGGGGTTTGAGGTCTTGGAGTCTTGGGGAAACACAAACAACCGGGCCAAACAACGCATTATTACGACGGCCCAGAACTATTTTGCAAGAGTTTGAATAAGCTGCCAAAATAACGCATCAAAGAAGGTCATCAACCTAAACCCAGTGCAACATCATCGTAACCTGTATCATTATCTAGCTTTTATACTTATGGGTGTGGACGCCATGTTGGCCAGGTGCCCCTGCAGCCGCCCCAAGTGGCGGCAAAGGCGGCTATTTGTGTCGGGATTGGTTGAGTTGAGGACTTGAAGTTCAGGTTCGAAGTGGACCTTCGAAGCCCGGCACTTGAAACAGCTCGGGTGTTGTTGCCCAAAAGTCTGGGACAGTTGCAGCCGAAGACATGGCTTTGTTCGCGTTTTCAGACATTTACTGTTTTGATTTGTTGTCTGGTGCTGTCATTTGCAAGTCTGAAGGTGTCTGGTTTGCGCTGTGAGTAGCAGTTTGTCCTTGTCTTTCGTGGGTGGTGGTCCATAGGCTCCCCGGCTTTTCTGGCTGCTCTGGGTTCCTAAGCGAACGATCTTCGGAGGCCTTCATTCTGGCAAAAAGCACAGCTGGATCTGATGGAGTGTATCGCCCAGCTGAGTGGAAGCAACCTCAGTTTCGGCTGCCCGTCATCACACCCCGGAAGCCAAGCCGAAAGCCTCTTAATCCCAGATGCTGCAAGCCGCAAGCTTTCTGCATTCAGGTTTCTAGGGCTCTACACTGGACGGAATGCTTTCTTGACCGACCTCACACAAAGCCTCACGTGAACATCGCATGGGTTCCATTACGGCGTTTGGGCACCTCCAGAAAGCATCCACACCTTGAACTCCGAGACCGAAAACCCGCAGCTTCACCTTCAATCCGAAATTCTCGCAGGCTACGCACCGTCCCCTGCGCAGGCCACTTGCCAGGTATACTACATAACAGTCAGCGTTTGCACACAGAAGTTCAGCCGTATGTGAGATCAGATCGATATCAGTCATTCGGGAAGAAAGCTATCTCCTAGGTTTCAGATCAACACCCCAGCTCTTGAGCCGCCGGAGACCTTTGGTCAGACCTCTAAGTTGGGCTTAACACGTTCCTCACTAGATTCGGTTTAGGGTCTAGGGTTTAGGGTCATTAGATTTTACAGTTACATTGTCTCCAACTTTCGCATTTCGCCAGCATTTTGGAGTGCCTGGGACTATCTTCAACGGCACCCCCGCGGCACCAAGTAGTCTTTCGTAGTGACTTTGTGACTCGATTCACGAACTGCAGCCAGATGCTACCTGAACCCTCATACAAGCTATTCCAGTGCTCCTTGTCGTGATTTCCTGATACATGCTTGAAGAGGTAGGCTGTTGGGAACAAATTGCAGGGACCCCTTACTCTAAAAACCATGACAAAAGAGATGAAAGGATGCAAAATGCCCTCATCGGATCGCCTTAGAGCCTTCTACAGCAGGGTCTTTGGGCCCAACAGCCTTAAGCGTCTTACTCCTCACAGCCTTCGAGTTTACGAATATTCACTTCCTGGAGCGTCTCATTGGTTCGGCCCTTGCTGACCCAAAGGGTCCTATGTATGTACCGATATGTGGAATGTACGGTTTCCATATTAGAAATTGCTATGACTTAGGGAATTACTCCCCGTAACAGTCAATAGGACCCTTTGGGTGATCAGAATCCCGAAGCAAGGAACGAAGTAACGTCACAGCATCGATGCCCTTTACCAAGAGTTTCCACAGAGTGTAATATGGACAATACAGAGAGACGTGGTGATGTTGTCCCCTTATAGTGAACCCCAGAAACTTGGAACATGAGTTTAGGATGATTCATGCTGGGATTCCGTATGCTTTGCTCTAAGGGCATGAGGCTAATGATGTTCCAACTTTCTGGCTTCTACTGTAGAGTTATCCTCATAGTACCGCAAACCCTGAACTCCAAATCCCCTAGCCCTATAGCTGTGCCAGGCCAGGGCAGATTTTGTGGGGTTCGAGAATGAAAGGTTCTTTGCCACACTGAACTGTTTGCGTTTGAGCGGTTCGGTTCAGGCTTGGTGGCGCAGAACCCTTTCAAAACACAAGAGTCCTAAAGCCTACAACTCCAAAGTCTCAAAGCCGAGATCTTACGAACCAACCATGGGAAACTCATAATCCCTAAGTTTTGGGCACATGGACCCTTAGGGAATATGAACTGTCTCGGGTGATTCTTGAGGCACCTGCAGCGGTCGAGCGACCGCCGAAAGTCGAGGCGGGATGGCTGCGATTGCGGTGCCCTTGTTGTGGTTGTAGGGTTCGGTTTAGGGTTTAGGGTTCAGGGCTTGAGGTTTGGGGCTGAGGCTGAGCAGTAGCAGTAGCAGTGGCACTAGCTGGAGTAGCTGCTGCAGCGACCAGCAGTGGCAGTAGAGGTAGCAGTAGCAGTAGGTCAGAACGGTAAGCCTTACGTAGCACATGAGACAATCTCCCTTTTGAGGGCTCCCTTGTGGGAGCCGAGATGTCTTTTTGTTTTGGGGTACATGTAGCACTTGAAGACCTGAAACCTCCAAGCTCTACAACCCTACAGCTGCACACCCTATTAACACAGCCCCGAAGCCTCTACAGATCCCCTGGCGAACTCTGGAATCCCGTAGAACCCCCCTACCCAACCTCTCCAGAAGCCCAGAAAGTGCTTCTTGGGTTTGCAGGCCCCCTCCGTTCGCCCAGCGCCTAGCCAGGCTCGTCAGGGCAATGTTGCGACGTTGGTGTGCTGGTAACAATAAATAGCAGCAGTAGGCGTAGTAGTAGTAGTAGTAGTAGTAGTAGTAGTAGTAGTAGTAGTAGTAGTAGTAGTAGTAGTAGTAGTAGTAGTAGTAGTAGTAGTAGTCGTAGTAGTCGTAGTAGTAGTCGTCGTCGTAGTAGTCGTAGTAGTCGTGGTAGTAGTAGCAGTAGCAGCAGCAATAGCAGTAGTAGGCCCTAAACAGTAAACCCTAAGTCTACTAGTAGCCGTGAGTAGTATCCCCTGAACTTGCAGAGGCTTGAATGGTCGATTTCGCGGGGTCCTGTGTCTTTTGCTGCCCTGGTGGTTGTACCCGGCGGCTCGCTTGCCCCTACTTCAGCATTCGTAACATACCACAAAATCCAACATCCTCCAATGATGAAGTGCAGATACTTTCTGTTCTAGCCCTGTATATACCCGAAAACCGGGCCTGCATTTCAGGTGCTATGTAAGACATGTCTAGAGTCTCAAGCCGCCAGTTGTGTACTGAAAGGTCCTGACAACGAGCAAGTTTGTTCCCACATAGTCCCTGTTTGAGTTCTAGTATGCGGGAACCCTGATACCCAAACTCGATGTCGTGAAGCTCCATCACCCTGAATCCCCAAAGCGGCAAATAGCCTGAAACCCTGAAGCCCTGAAGCGCCCTGAAGCCCTGAACTCTAAGCTCTAGAGCCCGGAAGCTTTCCAAGACTTGCGCAGGGCTCATAAGCCCCATGGAAACCCTAGAGCCCTGCAAAACCCTCCTATTGAAGTCTCTTTAACCTTGATAGATAGATACACAGATCTACAGATATATATATATATAGAGAGAGAGAGAGAGAGAGAGAGAGAGCCTTAAATCCCGCAGAAACCGAAGCATCAAACACACCGAAGCCACGACGACCCATGCCTCCGTCCAGGCCGGGCAGGCTTTGTTCGAGGCCTCCATGCCTGGCAACCCTTCGAAGCCAGGGATTCCTAGTAGTAGAGTGGGTAACCTTTAACCTTTTGTGGGTAGTGTAGTCCCTGTTGCAACACTATAGAGGCGATGGGGTTTATGGATCAGTGGCCTAGTAGTAGAGTGGGTAAGCTTTAACCTTTTTGGGTGTATAGTCCCTATATAAACCCTACATAACCCAAAAGGTTAAGCTTGAGTTCCCCATGATACCCGACAAGTAGGGATTGTTTTTTTGGAGGGCGCTTTGGGGTTTAGGTCCTGTGGGGCGGTTTGGGGCGGAGGGTTCAGGGTCTACAGGGTCTAGAGTCTAGGGACTCTGGCGTTTAGAGATGTCTTTTACTTCTTCGGCTTTCATTAGAGTTCCATAAGACTTCTGGTCAGGGTTCTACAGGGTCGTAGTTCGGGTCAGTGACAGGTTTTGGGGATTTTTGGGGCTTTCGGCTTCGGAGCCTTCTGTTTCGAGCTGATGCAGTGTTGGTTCTTTGGTTTTCTTCCAGCGCCCGTGGTTGCTGACCGGGGTGGGGGTTTTGTGGCAAAAATGGGGCCTGGCATCTGAGAGCTCCTTCTATTCATCTAAACGCCCTAAGTATAGTATACCACCACGACCCTCTTTGAATATAATTTGGCACCGTATTCATTTGGTGTGGCTCTGGGTTGGACTTTGTTTGCCTAGGTGCGCTCTTGGGTGCCGCCCAGCAAGCTTGAGAAAAAGAGACTTCTGGTGGACCTTGTACCCTCGCAAAGAGTACCTCGTTCTACACGTCGGCTGACAGCTTGCCTACTGACGACCTCGGTGCATTCCTGAAGAACCGCCAGACCCCAAATCCACCCGACCTGTTGCAGATGATTTCTTCCCCCGCGAGAAGAATCTAAGGGTTTGCCTGCTACCTTAGCACTGATTAGCTATTCTTGTGGTTTTAGTATAATCGCAGTTTGCGTAATGCGATATTGTAGTATCAATATATTAGTATACCCGCAGCTTGTGCTACGAATATTTAACATCAAATTTACATTACATCTTACTGTTATGTTCAGTTTTTCAGCTGCCAAAGCACCTTGTGAGGCGAAGCGGAAGCCCGCACCAGCGCCAGCGCCGCCTGCAGACGGCCAGTCAAGCTGATCCGGGTTCACGCTTTAGGGTTTAGGGTTTTGGGTCTACGGTTCAGGGCATTGGGATTAGGAAGTAGAGTGTGGAGTCTAGGATGGGAGCCGCGAAATCTCCGTACAGTAAATCTCAAGCCGGGGACAGGGGTTCTGCAAGGGTTTAGAACAACGTGTAAGGGTTCCCGTGAGGTTTTATTGTGTTTCTACGGGTTGCAAGGTAGACTGTCGAAAAGCATTCACCTTTTCTTGCAGCGCCTAAACTGAAGAGTCCCTAGTGGGGTGGGGTTTATGGATCAGTGGCCTAGTAGTAGAGTAGGTAACCCGGTAACCCGTAGCCTTTTTTTGGGTAGTGTAGTCCCTATATATTCCCAGCCAAAAAGGTTAACCTTTAGTTCCCCATGATACCCGACAAGCAGGAGTGGTTTACATGACATAAGCGCCCTTACAGACCCCTTTTCGACGCGTAATCCGCAGCCCCCAGACTCGGAACTGTGTATGTCAAGACATCCACAAGCCTTCAGGAGAAAATACTATATAGAATCATGTAGGCTCTCGCTCTCTCTCTCTCTCTCTCTCTCTCTCTCTCTCTCTCTCTCTATATATATACATATATGTATTTTTTACACTCTTTCTATATATATATATATATATATACATACACTGTATATACAAAAATTAAAGGACCGGATAACCCCACATGTGAAGATCATCCATTCGTATAGAACACAAAGGTGCAGAAGAGTAAATGAGTGAGGGAGTAAATGAGTGTGTGAGTGAACGAATGAGTGAGTGCTGCTGTGAGTGCGTACGTGGGTGTAGGGTGTATGATGTGTGCATGTGTGGTGTGCGAGTGTAGAGAGAGAGTGTGTGTGTGTGTGACTGTGTGTGTGTGGGTGTGTGAGTGTGAGTGTGTGAGTGTGTGAGTGTGTGAGTGTGTGAGTGTGTGAGTGTGTGAGTGTGTGAGTGTGTGAGTGTGTGAGTGTGTGAGTGTGTGTGTGTGTGTGAGTGTGTGTCTGGGTGTCTGAGTTTCTGTGTGTCTGTGTGTCTGTGTGTCTGTGTGTCTGTGTGTTTGGGTGTCTGGGTGTCTGCGTGTCTGTGTGTCTTTGTGTCTGTGTGTCTGTGTGTCTGCGTGTCTGTGTGTCTGTGTGTCTTTGTGTCTGTGTGTCTGGGTGTCTGCGTGTCTGCGTGTCTGCGTGTCTGTGTGTCTGTGTGTGTCTGTCTGTGTCTGTGTGTGTCTGTGTGGGTCTGTGTGTGTGTCTCTGTGTGTCTGTGTGTGTCCTGTGTGTGTCTGTGTGTGTGTGTGTCTCTGTGTGTCTGTGTGTGTCTCTGTGTGTCTGTGTGTGTGTGTGTCTCTGTGTGTCTGTGTGTGTGTCCTGTGTGTGTCTGTGTGTGTGTCTCTGTGTGTCTGTGTGTGTCCTGTGTGTGTCTGTGTGTGTCCTGTGTGTGTCTGTGTGTGTCCTGTGTGTGTCTGTGTGTGTCGGTGTGTGTCGGTGTGTGTCGGTGTGTGTCTGTGTCTGTCGGTGTGTGTCTGTGTGTGTCTGTGTGTGTGTGTGTCTGTGTGTGTCTGTGTGTGTCTGTGTGTGTCTGTGTGTGTCTGTGTGTGTCTGTGTGTGTCTGTCTGTGTGTCTGTCTGTGTGTGTGTGTGTGTGTCTGTGTGTGTCTGTGTGTGTCTGTGTGTGTCTGTGTGTGTGTCTGTGTGTGTCTGTGTGTGTCTGTTTGTGTCTGTGTGCACGTGTCTGCGCGCGCGGCCTTGCCCAGAGCAGGCCCGGGAGGGTCTTTAGTCGCGGAAGAGTCTCGCCCCCAGGGCGCGCGCGGCCTGGGCCAGAGCAGGCCGGGTCTCGCATCCAGGGCGCGCGCGGCCTTGCCCAGAGCAGCGCGTGCGGCCTTGGCCAGAGCAGGCCGGGAGGGTCTTTAGTCGCGGAAGAGTCTCGCCCCCAGCGCGCGCGCGGCCTTGGCCAGAGCAGGCCGGGAGGGTCTTTAGTTGCGGAAGAGTCTCGCCCCCAGGGCGCGCGCGGCCTTGCCCAGAGCAGGCCCGGGAGGGTCTTTGGAGGGTCTTTAATCGCGGAAGAGTCTCGCCCCCAGGGCGCGCGCGGCCTTGCCCAGAGCAGGCCCGGGAGGGTCTTTAGTCGCGGAAGAGTCTCGCCCCCAGCGCGCGCGCGGCCTGGGCCACAGCAGGCCGGGAGGGTCTTTAGTCGCGGAAGAGTCTCGGCCTTGCCCAGAGCAGGCCGTGAGGGTTTTAGTCGCGAAAGAGTCTCGCCCCCAGGGCGCGCGCGGCCTTGCCCAGAGCAGGCCCGGAAGGTCTTTAGTCGCGGAAAAGTCTCGCCCCCAGCGCGCGCGCGGCCTTGCCCAGAGCAGGCCGGGAGGGTCTTTAGTCGCGGAAGAGTCTCGCCCCCAGCGCGCGCGCGGCCTTGCCCAGAGCAGGCCGGGAGGGTCTTTTGTCGCGGAAGAGTCTCGCCCCCAGCGCGCGCGCGGCCTTGGCCAGAGCAGGCCGGGAGGGTCTTTAGTCGCGGAAGAGTCTCGCCCCCAGATCGCGCGCGGCCGGGAGGGTCTTTAGTCGCGAAAGAGTCTCGCCCCCAGGGCGCGCGCGGCCGGGAGGGTCTTTAGTCGCGGAAGAGTCTCGCCCCCACAACCCGCGCGGCCTTGGCCAGAGCAGGCCGGGAGGGTCTTTAGTCGCGGAAGAGTCTCGCCTTCAGGGCGCGCCCCGGGAGGGTCTTTGCTCGCGGAAGAGTCTCGCCCCCAGGGCGCGCGCGGCCTTGTCGCGGAAGAGTCTCGCCCCCAGGGCGCGCGCGGCCTTGGCCAGAGCAGGCCGGGAGGGTCTTTAGTCGCGGAAGAGTCTCGCCCCCAGGGCGCGCACGGCCTTGGCCAGAGCAGGCCCGGGAGGGTCTTTAGTCGCGGAAGAGTCTCGCCCCCAGGGCGCGCGCGGCCAGAGCAGGCCCGGGAGGGTCTTTAGTCGCGGAAGAGTCTCGCCCGCAGGGCGCGCGCGGCCTTGGCCAGAGCAGGCCGGGAGGGTCTTTAGTCGCGGAAGAGTCTCGCCCCCAGGGCGCGCGCGGCCTTGGCCAGAGCAGGCCCGGGAGGGTCTTTAGTCGTGAAGTGAGGCCAAGAAGTGTGTGAGGCCAGGAAGTGTGTGTGTGTGTGTGTGTGTCTGCGTCATGAAGTGAGGAGGAGGAGTGAGGAGGAAGAGGAGGAGGAAGGAGGTGAAGGAGGAGGAGGAGGATGAGGAGGCGGGACAGCCCCAAATAGTAAGAACCCCACACAGTGATGTGGGGAATTACATATACTATATATATATATATATATACTACATGCATTACGGGCTGGATCTTCACAGTCGGCGAGCGGAAGCCGGAACCGAGCAGGAGTCATTTCGCCATGGACCCCTCCTATCATCTAAATGGAATGTCAAAAGGGTCTGGGGTATATTCTACTGGGCAGGGCTGCTGAGAGAGACAATCAACAATATTCCCCTGAGATGCCTACCCGCCGACGCCCAAGGGCGATAGGGTAGGACAAGGCCTGCACCACAACACAGCAACACAGCACAACAGCAGCGGCAGCAGCAGCATCGGCAGGCAGCACGGCAGCACTAGCATGCGCCAGCAATGGCATCGGAGGGGTGAGTTTCACAACGTGTCACGGCTGTCGGTGCGGTTATATTCAGAGAGGGTCGCAGTATATCCTAGGCATGGGCCGGGTTTGGCAACACTCGACCCTACCTGGCGGATCGAAAAGCACACGCGCAGTTTCAAACCAACCAAAGCCAAGCCGCCCCCTTTCAACAAAGAAGACGCCTAAAACCCTAAACCCCGAAGCCTAAGCCCCGAGACCCCAAAGACCCCAAGCACCAAGACCCTAAACCCCCAAAGCCCTAAGACCCCTACCCTGACCACCTAAACCACTATATCCCAAACCGCCAAAGAAGAAGCCTAAAACCCTAATAAACCCCGACGCCCAAAGCCCCTAGACCCCCCCAAAGCCCCAAAATTTAAGCCCTGACCCCCGACCCTGATCGCCTCAACCTCTAAATCCCAAACCGCCAAAGAAGAAGCCTAAAACCCTAATAAACCCCGAAGCCCTAAGCCCCTAGACTCTATACACAAGAACGCTAAAACCCTAAACCCCCAAAGCCCTAAAACCTAAGCCCTGACCCCCTCCCTAAACCACTATATCCCAAACCGCCACAGAAGCTTAGGGGTACTTAGAAATACTTTTTAATTTTCGGTTACTATAATCCCTAAGAAACAGCTAAAATTACAATTTTTGCTAGGGTCCTAAGTTCAGTATCGTGAAGAAGCCGGCGAGGCCTGGGTTCCATGAGGGCCGATGCCGCCGCCTTCGTCCCGGGCCAGGGCTTCGTCAGCGAAAAGGCCGAGGCGCTGATCGGCTTCCGAAAAAAAGGGGGCTTCAAAAGGAGTGTTTAGGGTTTAGGGTTTAAGGTTTAGGGTTTAGGGTTTAGGGCTCATCGGCTTCCGATAAATTTGGGCTTCAAGAGGTGGGATGAAGACAGGTGGGGTACTACAGGGGCGTAAATAGTTACCAATACTATCTGGGGGGTCCCTTCTTATAAGTCTAGTATAATGGGCCCCAAAGCCTTATTCTAATTCTTAAGGCCCCTACAAAGCAATCCCAAATAAGAAGCAAGACCTTCATCCCACCTTCTGAGGCCTCCGAAACAAAGAGCTTGAGGGCTTCGGGTTTGGGGTTGAGGGGCTTCGGGTGTAAGGCATGAGTTCAGGCTTTGAGGTTCAGGGCTTCGGGTGTAGGATTTGGGTTTGAAGGTCTGGGATTGAGGGCTTCGGGTGTAGAGGTTTGGGTTTAGGGTTTGGGTGTAGGGTTTGGGGTTCAGGGTTTGAGGCTTGGGTAAAAAGTTTGGGTTTAGGGCTTAGGGTTTTGAGATGAGGGATTCGGGTGTAGTGTTTGGGTTTAGGGGTCGGAATAAGCAGTATATGGTAGTACGGTAGTATTAGATGGTAGAATTCCTTCAAAGTCTCTATATGCTGATATCATCACAGTCACCGAAAATTCGATAAGGAGTATTGAGGGTTCTGAGAGGACTATGGTGGGTTCGGGGTTCAGAGTTTCAGGGTTTGTGATAAGTTTTGGTGGTTTAGGCTTTCGGGCTGCAGGGTGGAGGATTTTTGTAGGTCCTGATTAAGAAAGCCTTGGCCTTGAAATGGGATTACAACAAGGATCCTAACCTTGAGGCAGTGAAGGAAAGAGGGCTTACTGATCAGGGGTCCTTTTTTCGGGTAGGGGTTAAGGGTTTGTGGGTATAGGGCTTGGGTGTGGGAGCTTAGGATCCCGTTTCAGAAGCCGAAGTCAGAGAGATGCACCGGCTTCAAGTTAAGTAGGGACTACACAACGGGCTTCAGGGAGCCAAGCAGTTTCCTCAATGGGGGAGGTGGTGCGGTTCTTGGAAGCAACGAGCTAAAATCGATCCACCTTGCCGATGCGATAAACCCTAAACCCTCAACCCTGAACCGGCGGTGCCAACCTCCATCAGGTCGAAGTTAGGGTTTAGGGTTTAGGGTTTAGGGGTTTAGGGGTTCGGGGTTTGGGGGTTTAGGGTTTGGTGGTTTAGGGTTTCAGCATCCCAAGCCAACAGCAGAAGCTTGAGCCGGCATTGTCGAGAGTCATGGCGAAGGTCCCGCGCGCAGTGAGCTGTGAAACCCACAGCCCACACCCGAGATTAATAGGCCCTAAACCCCTTCTTAAGCCCTAAGCCCGAAGCCGTTATATTAACATCCTCTATAAACCCTGACCCCTAATGTAAACCCCATACGCTAAACCCTTAAACCCCACAGATCGTGAGCACTCAAGCCTCAGCAGGTGCCGAAATCGCGGCGGGCAGCTGCTCCCGTGATGAGCGAAGCTTCCAAGCGCATGCCCACCTATGAGAAGAAGGCACCGGGTTTAGGGGTTTAAGCTTTAGGGGTTTAGGGTTCGGGGTTTAGGGGTTTAGGGTTCAGGGTTTAGGGGTTTCGGGTTCAGGGCGAGCTTCGTGTCGAGGGGGGGTTTCGAGTCGGGGAGGATTGACTGCAGGGATTTTAGGGTTTCAAGGTTTAGGACTGGTTTCTATTGGTGTGGTAGACGGTTCTGGGTGTGGCTTGAATTTCGGATTTGACAGTCAGGGCGGACACGGCCACATTCCCCAGTGATCTGACCCGAGTCAGGGCTTAAGCATGATTGCAGACGCCGGAAGCTTAATTCCTTCCTCAGGATTCTAGTAGGGATGCAAGTGCGAAGGACCTGAACAAAAGTTTGTTGCTCAGGGTCTACAATTGGGCTTGCGATTGGGCCGCCTCTTGATGGAGTCAATGGGTTTCGAGAAGAGGTGTTCCGTGGGCGGTTTAGTCAAGGGTATACTGCTTTGGCTCTCTTATCTGCACTTCGGCTAGTCTCTTTCACGTGCTTGGCGTCCGCTGGGACAACGAGCTGCAGGAGAGCACTGCGCGAAAAGTATACGGCCATACCCTACCCTTGAAGCTCACGATGCCCAAGAGCCTTAAATCGTACAACGTTTTCATTATTTGGTTTCTGTATAAAGGAAGCATCATGGGACCAGGTACCTCACTTGATCTTTTCAGGCTGTGAATTGCAAGCCTTCAGATAAAACGGGCACTCCCGAAGAAAAGGAATTCCGGGATCCAGGACTGGATCATCGCCGGCATTCGGCACAACATTGTGCGCGGGGCCAAGCTTGCACATGTCTTGGCTTGAAACACTCCTATGGACGGCTGTTGAATTGCAAATGCCCAGCCCTAAGATCTAGCAGTAAAGTAATTAAATTCCCTGCGCCCATCGACTCCTTTTTGCTACTGGATTCTGTTGCTCTTCGGTGTGCTGAGGCTTTGGAAGCTTGTTTTTTTTGTTTTTGTTTTTGTGTGTGTGTTCTATAGTTTATCCGTCCGATTGAGGGCTGAGGGTGGTGAGCATCTGCATCGGAATGTTCTTTCTTAGACGGAAGTGGGAGAAGGTGTTTCGGAGCTTCGTTGTGGAGTGGAGACTCGAAAGAGGGTTGTGTGGCTGTGACAACTGGCTATGTGCCACGAAGCCTCACGGCACAACCTTGCGAGAGTGCCATCGTGGTGTTCGAGCACATTCGTTTCTGGGGGCACGTTTGCTGAGCCTCAGCCAAGAATACAAGGGTTGGTGTTTTCCGTCGTCTAATATTGCAGCGGAGGGGCTGATAGCATTCTCTAGGTGCTCAGGTAGTGCAGTATTTCGACGTACATGGTGGGCTAGTGTAAAGTTGCCTAGGAACAGCAGCAGTGGTCATCCCATAGCCAGTGCGTCGAGGACTGTTATCAGCGGTGACACCGGTTGTGGAAAGCCTGCTGCTCAGGATTCTTGCTTGAGGGGGCTTCCTGTTCGTTTTGGGTGGATTCTGTTCCGTAATGAAGAACTTGTATAAGTCCATCCAGCGCTCACATCTTTGAGCCGTACAGAAGACCTCCAGCATAAGACCATAGACCTCGCGGACGTAACACAGAGATCCACATTCTCATGCCTAACGTGCTTGGCGAAGTGCGATGATTGCTTCGAGACCCGGTGTTAATTCTTTAATGAGAGCTCATCAGGTTTGTTCTTGATGTTGAACCCCAATCCCACCCTGAACCCTAAACCGTAAACCCTAAATTCTAGACCAAACCCTAAATCCTAAACCCTAACCCCTAAACCCCCTAAACCCTAAATCCAGGCTGCAGGGCTAGGTTTGAGAAGGGTAGAACTAAGCCCAACCCACAAGGACCCTTGCAGCAAAAGGCGATCTGCAAACAATCCTAGATCCGAACCCCAAGGGTCCATGGGACCCAATGAGGGTCCCTTTAAGGGTCCTTTAAGGGATTTACACGGGTACTATAATGGTCCCTTTAAGGCTTCTTTAAGAGTTCTATAAGGGCCGCTTTAACCCCAAAGGCCCAAAGGACCCAATAATTAGGTACTCGGTTTTCGGATGGTAGTTATGTAGGTTAGGATTTTGGAGTGTATATGATTCTTAGGTACTTGGACCCTTGGGGTAATGTAGGAACCTGATTAAGAAGCCCTGGGCCTTTATCGGACTCTACAAGGGTTCCTTTAAAGGCTACTTTTCAGGAATTTGGGGGGGGGTTTGATGTAGGATTAAACCCTGAAGGCCCTGAGCTTTTCAACCTGTGACCCCCAAGCGCGAAACACGGGGCTCCTACACAGTACTTGGAGGGTCGGGGGACTTAGTATGTACTTATTTTAGGGACTTATAAGCATCATAACCCCAATTAGGGTCCCCTTTAAGGTACTTATATAATCACCCCGAAGGCAGCCTTGAACTGCTGAGGTTCGAGGTACCCGCAGAGGTTTTACCGTTCAGGCGTTAAAGCTTAGGGTTGAGGAGTGAGGTTCCCTAAATTCCCTAAACTCCCTAAATTCCTTGAATTCCCTATAAACTCCGTAAACTCCCTAGATTCCCTTTAAATTCCCAAACCCCTAAACCATAAACCCAAAACCCAACTTATCTGCAATCCTTGGGACCTCGGGTCCGGTAGCAAGCGGGCGAGACACGACAGATTGGAATAAACATCAGAAGCTTCGGATTTAGGGCTTGAGGGTTTAGAGTTTAGGGTTTAGGGGTTTTGGGGTTTAGGGTTTAGGGGTTTAGGGATTTACAGTAGGGGTTTAGGGGTTTAGGGGTTTAGGGGTTTAGGGTTTAGGGGTTTAGGGATTTACAGTAGGGGTTTAGGGGTTTAGGGGTTTAGGGGTTTAGGGGTTTAGGGTTTGGGGTTTAGGGTTTAGGATTTGGGGTCTAGGGTTCGGGGTTTAGCAGGGTGTAGGACCTGTGGGTGCAAAAACCGCATGGACTTGAGCTCTTTTCCCTAGTTATAATGAGTTAGGGGGTGCCAGCCTCAAGTGTTGGTATGGTTTGGGGCTATTGGGAAAAGACGAAGCATTCCTTGGTCGAGAATCACAGCTGCCTAACGAAGGTTTTGTGGTCATGTATGCGTGTATCCAGCAGGTAAGGCTAAACCTATAGGGTATGCATACTCATGCATGTATCATTTCGTGCTTTCAGAGCTATGCATGCACTTTTTAAGCAGCATGTCGTCTGTCTTTGCATAAACTCCCACACTCAAGCCCCTAAGCCAGATGGCGTAATTGAACTTCAGAGTCCCGAAACCCCCTAAACACACGAAGGCCCATGTTGCCCTGAAGCCGCGATACCCTGAAACTATCCGAACCCATTGCACCCTGAAACCCATCCAAGCATCCCAACACCCAACACTGATAAAATCCTTGCAGCTCGACACCCCCAATTTTGCGCTCTTGCCGCCATGAAGGTCGACATTGATTCCACAGCTGGCCATGTGCTCAGGGACACACGAACCCTCGGGTCCGCTTTAGGGCTTATAGGCTCCTTGACGGGATTATGGGTTTTGGAGCTTAGACTTTATGCAGTTATGGGGTGATTGATTTCTTTGCAGAAGTGTCGATGCTGGGGCCTGCGTTTGTACATGAGGTTTTTCTCAGGGTGTTTTTGCCACGACAATCTGCATGTTACATGCCGGCATTCAGAGCTCCTGTTGTTTGCCAGTCCTTCCAGCCACATCAACAACCCACACAACATTCTAAATCCTGAAGCGCACTAGCCTACCTGCAGCCCAGTACATCTACCCTGCTTAGAGGACTCTGTTTTCAGACATCAGAATAATGAACACTCAACTCAACACGTACTTTGGGCTACAACCACGCCCTGCGTACTAGGCTTGCTTGAACTTGATTGAGGTCTGCGATGCGGAGAACCTGGTTCCAGACGACAAGGCCTTGTTTCCAAAGTGGTTCGGAAAGATTCGCAAAGGGTTCAAATTTTTGGCATAGAATTCCCCTAAACCCTAAACCCTAGTAGTCCAAGTGTAACTATACCTCGGTATATCCCCAGAACGAAGAGTCCCCATGCAAAAGGCACTAGGATCCCAGAGGGTCCATAATTACTGCCATTATGGAATCAGGTCCCAAAAGACCATGCTTAGTGTGGTTCTGGGGATCTAATTCCATAACGGTAGTAGATATGGACCCTCTTAGGATTACCGTCGTTGCCGCGAATCTTATCATACCCATCAAGAGATTTATATGCGAGCGTTCTGGTTATCACCTTTGCAATATCAGAACCAAAAGATCCATATAAGTCCTTAGTTCCCCTCTGAATTTATAGTGCCTACAATATATGTTTTCGCTACACCATACCCCAACGCGCTGTTCCACTTCTCAGAGGGCTTGAACCCTCAAAGCTTATTAAGCATCCTCTTGTTTGCACTCGAAATACATGCAACCTCCGTTTAGAGCTGACCCCTACCCCAAGAAAATTCAATCAATCCTGATGCCAGACGCATACACCCCGCTAAGCAGCAGACCCCCAACACCAAGAAGCCCATCCACGCCAAAACCCCTAGCACGCTTGCGGAACCCCTCGAAGAGCCCCTTTGGAGAACCCTGAGATGAACTCTTACAGGAACCGTAAACAGTCGCTGAATGTTGTGTTCGAAGAGCGGAGGTCGTCGTCTGCACGCAGCCGCGGCGAGTGGCTGCAATCACGCTGGCCGAGTACGTTCGAAGCTTAGTGATTTGAGTGGCTTAGTGCTCTTTGGTCAAGATCCCATAGTGTGCTTTCGGGCTATGCTGTGTTTTGTGAGGGTTGTATTCTGTCAAGATCCCATGAGGGCTCTTTCGAGCTATACTGGTTTCATGAGGGTTGCATTGAGCTGCGTAACAGGGGGCTCTCCCTGAAGGGTCCCATCAGGAAGCTAGATTGCCAGCTCATACTGGCATATTGAATTCTAGAAGACATCAGTTTGTCAGCTGTAACCCAGGGATATCCGTACATTTATCAGTAGCTTGTAAGACTTCAGTTTTTGGGAATACAGCTTACATCACACTAGAAGAGCACTGAGGTTGCGAGAGACCGCGGCCAGGACGGGAGTTCGCCTGTGCTGAATAGGCTTGGGGGTTTCCCAAATTGGGGGTACCTTATTTTGGGGGTCCTTACAATCAGGATCCTACTATTTATGGTACTATCCCAAAGGGTACCGTTACAGTAGAATGTAGGTTTTTATATTAGGAATTACTATTATGATTTGGGGAAGTATCCCCCACAACAGTACCTAGGACCCTTTGGGTATATCAGGGTCCCCTCTTTTCGGAAGTCACCACTTCACGGCTTCTTGAAGTTTGGTCCCTTCGCAACACAGGTATTTACTCGTGCATGTGTCATCAGAGCACTGGCGATACAACTACTAATGCCTTGGTAAAGTTGTCGACTTTGTGACTTTGCAGATTTAGGTTTCAGCGCTCGGGACTTTTAGGGTATAGTTCTAGGCCCTAAACCCTGAACCCTAAATTTAGGGACTTTCCCTAGCTGATGTATATCGCGAGGCCTCCAGGGACCTGCAACTCACATGGCCGGGACCCCCCATGCCCAAACACGTAATGTGGGGGCCTCAATAATTAGAGCAGGATTTTGTCGGTTCCTTATTATATTATATACCTATAACCCTGTTCTAATGATAAGGGCCTCGACATTACATGTTAGATCCACAGAACGGCTTGCAGACAGACGGACATCCACCTCACCATTCTCAACAGCATGACTGCTAAGTAGTGCAAACCTGACAACTCCCCGTACCTACAAGTCACAAACCACCCTATCCCAGCAAGCCCCGACAGCATGCCCTTCCCTAGGGTTTAGGGTTCAGGGTTAAGGGTTTAGGGTTTAGGGTTCTACTACTTCTTCTACTACTCCCCAGATTGCACCCTTTTGTAGGAGCTCGGCGATGAGGCCACCCGTGGTGCGCATGATGGCTTGCAGGATTTGATGGTTTTGCATAGGCAGCGTTCACAGGGTTTAGACTATTTATAACTTACCTTTGTTTAGTAGGGAATGGAAGAATGGTAGCAATAGAAGTTTTAATTGTAACCCATTCCTCCATTCCCTACTAGCCAAAGGTAAGATAAGGCTCTGACTGCGGTCTTCAGCCTCCAACCTCCCCATTTGCGGTGCAGAGTTGGAGACGCAGAGGTAAGGGTTTGGGGTATGAGCAGCAGGAGCAAGAGTAGCAGCAAGAGCCAGAGCAATAGCACGAGCCGGACCTGGAGGAAGAGCAAGAAAAATGGGGAGCAGGAACGAGAGCAAGAGCAGCAGCAGCAAGTGTAGAAGCAGGAGCAGCCGCGAGAGCAGGCAGCAATAAGAGCAAGAGCAAGAGCAGGAACAAGAGCAACAGCAGGAACAACAGCAGTCATAGGACCAAGAGCAAGGGCGGCACCAAGAGCAAGAGCAGGGGCAAGAACAGTACGCTGCAGGATAAGGAGCACAAGCCAGAGTAGGAGCAAGAGCAAGAGTAAGAGTAAGAGCAAGCCCCGCAAAGTGACAGTATCGATAAAGAATCCCTAATCACCCTAATCATCGAAACACTTTTCGAGAACTGTCTTGAGGGACCCCGTGTAATATCAGGAGAAGGGATACTACGTCTTAGCATGAGTCACCAAAACAGTATGCTGTGAGTAGGAGTACACGTACGTACCAGTATCAGTTTTAGGGCTCGTTGATGTCATTATCAGTATCAGTACTTGTAGCCCAGGAGTCGTTGTCGCAGTGGAGGTCACAGCTCTAGCCGTAGCCGTCACCAGCAGGCAGATTTTACACTCTACACCAGAGCTCGAAGCCCAAATTCCTGATCTCCAAGTCTACGCCCCAAACCCAAAGCCCTCAACCCGAAGCCCTGTCCCCGGTGCCTGAGCTGCGGCTCTGTTCTCCAAGCCACAAAGCCCGGTCAAGCATTTAAAAAAGGCACCTACATCTCGTAAGGCCTTCGTGGTTTGTGTCTAGGATGCAGGGCTGATCCGACGTAGGTTGGATATCAGATCCGTTTCATCAACAAGTTCTGCGAGACGACTCGCCTGGCACCCGGCTCTCCTCGAAGTCTGAGAAGGGTTTAAGGTTTAGGCTTTTGGGTTTAAGGTTTAGGGAAGAGCCTCCGTAGTATCATAAAACCAAATACTCCTGCCTTTTGATGATCCTTTCTGAGGCTCGTGCCCATAGCAGTAGCATTGAAGTAGGATTTCGGCATGTAGGAGCGAGTGTAGACAGCCGAAACCCAAACATAAAATGCATGCGTCGCAGAACGGTTCTGTCTTGAACGTGGCGGAGGTGACAGGGTAAGGGATCGATTAGTCGTCGCTTTGCCTTATCCTTAAACTGTTACGGGTTCGGGTTGAGGATTTAGGTATCCTTGTCACGTCCTTCAGAGAGTTGGAGATCCATTTTGCTCGCCGCCAAGCGCGCCCCGGATAAGCCAATCCACACCTTGAGTTGCGAAAATCGGGTTCTCTTTCTGGCCTGACTCTGACTTCCAGAAACTCCAAGCGGGCCCGGCACCGGTACCCTAAACCCCTACGTAAATCCTTAAACCCCAAGTCTTAAGTCCTAAACCTCTCCTTAGGGGTATAGTAAACCTCTCCTAAGCCTTATGAGCCTCAAAAGCGGTATGAGGCGTGGGGTTTCGGGATTTTGGATGGGGCTCTGGGGTTTAGTGTGTGGCCTTTTATGCTTGCTGTCCATCACAGAGTCAGATCGAAGCGTCGGAAGCTTGAAAAAATACCGGAACGCACGCTGAATGGCAAAGACAAAGTTAGATCTCGCGACCTCACGAGCCGGCTTGATTGAACGCCCTAAGCCCGAAACACTAACCCTTACATTAAACCCGAATCCCTACAATCCCTCAGTTTTTGCTTTTTTTTCGAGGAAAACGAGGTCTCCTGATTATAACAGAACATCAGGAACAAAGGTGCCCTTACTATTAAGGGGCTACTCTGGAACCTAGTCATGAACATACCCTCAACCCAAAACCGTCAAGAGAGGCCTGATCTACGCCACGACTGCCATCGTGTTGCGGAGACTGCATAGTGAGCCCACCTTGGTCACGGCCTCAGTTGCGGCTGTGGGGTTTGGGTTGTACACTTCAGTCAAATGATGGTATGAATGCAGCACATGATCACATAAACACGTACAAGACTTGCAGATGCACATCGTTGCATGCATGCACATGCACACATACATGCACGGGTATGCACTGACATGTATTGACATGTATCACATGAAGTTTCCAATTTGTGCACGACAAGATGCAATTGTTTTATGACACCCATGGTTTAGACGGTGTTGATATTGCTGTTCCACCACCTTTGGCATTGTTTTTACACTGTATCACCCTATATGCTGTTCTATGTGTTGTTGCAGTAAGGTGTGCTACATTGTGTGCTGTTCAATTTCTGCCGTTTCCACCCATGGCTTGCCGGAAGACCACTCCGTGATGTTTTCATCCGTGCAAAGCGTGCTTGAAAGCCATGAAGAGGCTTTTCGGGGGCCAAGACTGGTCAAGCACAGAGGCTTCAAGCTCAAGTGGGGCAGAGCCAGTGGTTCCGGTCCCCAGATCTGATGACACTCCCCAGAGCTTCCAGGAGGCGAATCGAGAGAAACCCTAAACCCTAGACCCTGAACCGCCACTACAATGAGGTAGCAGAAGAGGCGGCGGCGAATTGCGACCTGAAGATTCGGAAGAGACACCCTATAAGAGCTTGAACAGAACCGGTCAAGCAATGCGGAGTCTCGCATTGCTTGCGGCTTAGGGTTCAGGGTAGGGGCTTCAGGGCTTGGGGTGTGTAGGCTTTAGGATTGAGTTGGTTTCGAGCTTAAAAGAGGTTTAGAGTTTTGACTTGTGGGTCTAGAGTGTCCCCAACAGCCTGCCGCAAAACATAGGATTTCAATTTAGAATTCCATCATGGCCTGCTGCACAAATGGAATCCGCCACAGCGCTACCATTCACAGACAAGTTTTTGCCGCCCCGCCAGTTCCAGGGAGTAGGCGCTTCGGGCTTTCTTGTTTTAGGGGCTTCTTCTTCCAGCTTGTGGGATGTTGTGATTGAAGATCATAGCTCCTAGGTTCCTGAGTAGTACCCTTTTGCTCTTTCTATTTGGGGTCTCCTTATTTAATAAACAGAATATTGGGAAAAAAGGGTACCCTTATTATACTGTCCAACGCTCAAGCCTGCCTCCACCCTGGATTCTAGTGCCTAATGTAAATGCATACATATACCAATATATGTATGTGTATATGTACGTGTGTACATATATATATATATATACACACACACACACACACACTTAGACTTCTAATTTTCCATAGATGCATGTGTGTATATATACATCTACATGTATACATATGTGTATACCTACATGCTCTTCACTTGGTATGTGGCTAAACCCCCCCCCCCCCCCCCGCCGCCATGCGAGAAACCGACAGGATAGCATCGGATGCCTCATCATCGACGAGGTGCACGAACGCGACGTGGGGCCCTCAGCTTGCTGCAAGGGGCTACTTTAAGCTTAGGATCAAGCATCCTTCTTTGCTGTGGCACTACTGAGTGAATTAAGGCGAATTCTAAACCCTAAACCTCTAAACCCCAAAAGCCCTAAACCCTAAACCCCTATTATGCTGCCAAGAGACAGGCTCCCTTACACCAGGTTTGAGGTCTGAAGCTGGACGTCCGATGCAACAGTGTAAATCCTCAACCCTCAACCCTGTTTGTGCTCCAGCAAACATCCGGGTGTTTCGGGCCGAAAACGCTGACATGAAGAAGTCCTCGTCATGAAGTCGCCGCTGTTATGGTTGGGTTGCTTTCGTCGTTGTTGTCACCATTCTTATTTCGACGTTGCCGACCGATGATGTCACCGATAGCAGCAGCAGCAGCAGCAGCAACAGGCAGAGCAACAGGCACAACAGCGCCACCAGAAAGAGCAGCCCCGCGACCGGCGGCACCAGAATCGTTGCCAATTACTTCAAGTATGCTGTTGTTGCTGCTCGTCTGCTTGTCACTAAACCTGGCCTTGATTATGTCATAGTACATAATCAAGGCCAGGTTTAGTGACAAGAAGACGAGCACCAACACTAGCACAGCCCGCAGCGGCAGCAACTACATCTACCGCAACACCGACCACGACAGCAACAATGGCAGCAACAGCAACAGCAGCAGCGAACGACGACGACGACGAAGTCGACAGCAACAGGGACAACGACAACACAAGCTGCATCAACAACAACAGTGACTTCCACGACGACGACTTTATGGGTACTGCTGCCAAGAAGCTCGCTTCAGATTCAGCAGGTTCGATACAGCAGTAGGGCTATTCTAACTATTAAGGCCCCTATACTATAGTATAGTATCCCTTGCAGTAACCCTTATAGACTCCTTTAAAGGGACCACAGAAAGAGACGGCGACAATGAAAAGTTGGCCCGGCCTTGCATTCCCTATAGTCTCCTGAGGATTTTTTTATTCTTGTTCATACAAAACCCAAAGAATATTCAAGATTTTATTACTGTTATGGTTCTAAGGGGGGGTGTAGTTCCAAGTGAAAGATCCTGGGAGCGCAAGCTCGAGAACTACTTCCATGACCTCGGCCAATCGCTATACGGCTGATGAGAGTCCTTTAAAGGGTACTTTAAGGGTTCCTTTCAGGGATCTGTAGGGTTTAGGGTTTTTAGGGTTTAGGGTTTAGGAATTAAACCTTTTTAAGGACTTATATAAGGAAATCATAATAAGGAGCCCTAAAAAGATAGGTTATTCAGGGATATATGAGGCAGGGTGTGGGCTTTCGGTCCTACTGGGGAACAGACGTAAACAAATGCCTCAACCTTGCCGCACCAGGTTTACACCGACTTCCTGTTGCTCCTGCTCAAAGAAGCCATGTTGAACGGCCGAATGCCTCATCTGAAGGTCCGCTGGCTCATGTTTCGGGGTTTAGGGCGAGACAGTTTGCAGTGATGCGTGGCGCTTGCAGCAAGAAACATGGCTGCAAAGAGCAATGGCATCAACGACAAGTGTGACGTCCCACGCAGGGCATGGCAACAGTTTGGCTGCAAGTCATGTTGTGCGCCACGATACTGCTGTAGGGACTGTAGTAGTGTTGTTGTCGTCGCTGCTGCTGCCGTTCCTGCTTCTGCTTCTGCTGCTCTTGCTGCTGCTCCTGCAGTGCTGGTCACGACGGTGACGAAGGGGACGACGATGGGGAGGATGTGGTGATGTTGACCTCCCATTTTCGGCAGGAAACTCTGCAGACCCTAAGCAGGCACACCTCGGTATAAAAGCTCCCGCAAATCCCTTAGATTACACTCCCAGGAATTTTGGTTCATGATCCGCGATTGCCTACAGAATATATGTCAGGGCTTACAAGGCGTTTTGCACTCAACGCTTGCTGCTCGCGGCTTAGTGGTTTGTTTCAGCGTACGGTGTACGTAGCATGCTGGGTTTAGGGTTTGGGGGGTTCGAGGCTTGATGAGTTTGGGATTTCGAGGTGGTTGGGGTTGGCGTTTTAGGGCCTGCTCCCGGAAGAAACACACATAGACAGGGAACCCGAAACCCTAAGCACCCTAAACCCTAAACCCTCAACACCCTAAACCCTAAACCCTAAACACTCTTAACCCTAAACCCTAAACACCCTTCACCCTAAACCCTAAACACCTTAAACCCTAAACCAGTATCAACCTCCAGGTGGTCCTGATGAGTGCCACGCTGAAAGCGGACGACTTCGCCAACTATTTCAACAAGGTCAACGGCCAGACAGCTCTGAAACCGGCCCCTTCGTCTTGGATCATAAGAATCCTAAACCCCAAAAGGCCGGGGTACCTGAGGGTTCCTTTAAAGGGTTCCTATAAGGGGGTACTATAAGGTTGCCTTAAAGGGCTCTAAGAGTTTCCGGAAATTAGACCAAAAGCCCTAAAACCCAAAAAACCCTAAGCCCTAAGCCCCAAAAGGCCCCCCAAAACCCCCCAAAAACCTTAAAGCCAGCTTTAGCTTAGCTTCTGTGGAAGATATGTCTGCTACCAGACGAGAGGTTCGGAGGGCTGGGGATTGCAATCGTGCCTTTCTTCAGATGGGAGTTTCCGAAGATTAGGGGTACTTATTTTGGTGCCGTTAAAACAAGGATCCTACTATTTGGCGTACTATAATAGGGCCCCGATTTTCGGAAACTCCGGTTCGGTGCATTTCCCCCTTCCTTATGGCCGAAGAGAGGTCATGATCGCAACATAGGTGCCCGAGGAATTACCGGCACTCCCTGGGGGGATCCTTCTTACTACAATCGTATTATAACGATTGCCCTCCCAAAATCCCATGCTAACTATTCCCCGGGGCTCCAAATAGCCCAAAGTAGGCACTATTTGTAGACTTTAGACCCCGAAGCAGGTACTATTTGTATACTTGGAGCCCTAGGGATGGAGACCCCTGTATTGGACTAGAAGCGGCGAGAATGTGCAGCGGATGTTGTTGGTGGAGCCCTAGTCCGTGCAGCTCCTTGCTACTTCTTTTTAGTGGTTTCCGTTTTTGGTTTTCTGGTTTCTTGTGTGGGGAGTTCCAGAAAACAGCAGTTTCAATGGAGCTGACGTAATACTGTAAGCTTGACATCTCATCCCATTGGGCCCTCAAGGCCTTAACAGTTGAAGTTGAATCCAATACGGGAAACCAGCGCCCTCTTTAGGGCTTTGGGCGTAGACCCTTCCACGGGCCTTCAACCTTGTGACCACAACCCGAAACCCAGTCAGTCTTTCTGAAGTTGATTCTGTTTTTTGGAGCGCTTGGCCAGCTAAGGTCCACATCCCGGGACGGATGTATTCTGTGGAAGACTACTATTGGGAGGCGGCGTAGGGTTTAGGGTTTAGGGTGTATTCAGGGTTCAGAGGTTTAGGGTTTGGGGTATAGGGTTTACCCAGAGGCCCCATAATAGTTCCTTCTCGGGGTTACCTCATAAGACTCTAACTATGGAACCCCCAAAGGAACTACTTTAGCTATAGGGGTTTGGGGTAGAGGCGAAGCGAAGAATTTCAATCCTGATAGGGAGACTGGTGACTCGTGGATTTACTTCAAGTCGTTCAGGGAACCCTAAGGGTTTGGGATTTAGGGTATAGAGTTTAGGGTTCAACCCGGCGCATGCTGCTTTACTTGGAAAGAGGATGTTCTATGAAACCATCGAAGATGTCATTGAACCACATGTATTCGATTCACAGCGCAGAGCCAGCTGTCCGCGCGACGCTGGCGGACATCATGCTACACAGTGGCGTGCCATCGTGTCCAAGCCGAAGTTATCAGCAATGCAACTTCATGGACTCAGATAGCACGGTTCAAGATGTAGGAGGAAAGCACCGCCACAAATCGGAGCACTAGATCTGGCAGGGGCCAACTCCTGACACGAGCCTTTCAAGCATCGATCCTGTTGGAAGCAGACCGCACCCAACTCTTACGTTATCCCCGACGAGAAGTCCCCTCCCCCCCCGGCCCCTTTAGACCACTTGTAAAACCGTTTCCGAACTTGCCTGTACCCCTTGCAGAATCCTCCTACAGACCGCGTATGTAGAACCCTAGGAGCTGAGTTTTATAGTTTTATAGTAAACCCTAAACCCTGAAATGCAGCTAACCCCGAATCTCCGGAAGGATGCGTGCGAGTGGATTGGCTTCTGTCCGCCGGACAAGGGCGCTGGGAAGGGCGGCAAGGGGAAGAAGGGGAAAGACCGCGATGACGGCTCCTGGGACTCAGAGGGAGGGTGAGGTGTGGGGTTTTGGTGTTTGACTTTTGGGTAGGGTGTAGGGAGAGCTTTTAGGGGCTCTGGGGTCTGAGGGCGAAGGGTTTTGGGGCAGTTACGCCATGGATAAACACAACCCGACAGCAGCAGTTAGCAGAAGGGACTAGTGCGGTACCGTGAGAGGGGATTGACACAAGCGATGTGCATTCCATTGTACTTCCCCTTTTGACGGCTGAGGGTTTGCAGAGTTAAAGCATGCTAGGATCTTACCTTGCCCCACCAATGCCTTTTTTTGTTGCAGGGGCCGTATGACTTTCATGTCAGGGCTAAGCCCGCACTAAGGAAGCTATGGTAGCTTGAGGTCAGGTTAGGAGCCTCAGACGAGAGTCGCAAGTCTCAGGCCCCTAAACCGTAAAACCGAAGCCTAGGCCGTAACCCCAAAGCTTAGGTCAAAGGGAAAACCCCAGGCGCTAAATCCTGAACCCTTTAGGGGTTTACGGGGTTAGGGTTTAGGGTTCAGAGGCCAAACCCAAACTCCTAAATGTAAAGCTTTGTTGTGTCGCAGCAGTATTTAGGTTTAGGGTTTTTAGGACATTTAGGGGTACCAGCTCCTAAACCCTAACCCTAAACTCCGCCATAAATACTTCCAGCCAGAACAAGCCCTGATAGCAAAGCATGCAGAAGAAGCTGGAGCAAACATAACTACACTACGGCCAGTTGCAGCATTGACAGCAACAACCCTCAACCAATACGAAGCAAACAGTTTGTAATAGTTCTAGTAGCCATACTCAGTGTGCACTACGTCAGCTGCAGTCTGCATCGCAGTGTTAGCAACAATGGTATTTCTACAATTTTAATATAGGACTCTTAATAATTACCTACACTATTAAGGGGGTTTCCTTCTTAATTATGATCATAACATAGTGGGCCCCAAGACCCTGTTCTAATTACTATGGCCGCTATATAGCGGGGTTTAGGGTTTCCCAAATCTTTAGAGTAGCTTTTCGGCCACAGCAGCTGAAGCAACAGCCGTAGACCCGAAAAGCATTTAAAGCCCTTAAAACCCCCGAGGGGCCCTAAAAAGCCGTAAACCCCTCCCCGTCTTCCTCACAGTAGGCGGCGTGTGACCGAACCTTTAATATGTCTATACGTGAAAAGTTTAGGGTTTAGGGTGTAAACACCCTGAACCTCAGAACACTCTACTTGCCTTTGGTTAGTAGGGAATGGAAGAATGGTAGTAATAGTATATAGTTATAACTGTACCCCATTCCTCCCCTAGGACCCAGAGTAGGCCCTTATTCCCTTTTTTGAGGCTTAGGCTCCCTTATAAACCCCTTTAAACCAAAAAGGGCATCCTTTTTATTCCTAGGTTACTCTGAGGTCTAGTCCCCCACTAACCAAAGGTAAGTCTAACAACCCGAAAGACCATTCGAAACCCTGAGGTGGTGCGGAGGACAAGATCGAAGCTTGTTACCAGGCGATGATGGGTTTAGGGTTTAGGGGTTTAGGGTTTAGGGGGGTTTAGGGGTTTAGGGTTTAGGGTTTAGGGTTTAGGGGTTTAGGGTTTAGGGTTTAGGGGTTTAGGGTTTAGGGTTTAGGGGTTTAGGGTTTAGGGTTTAGGGGCAGTCTTGCAACAGATCGGAGGCAAACCCCGCCCCCCCCCAACCCGAACAACATCATAAACCTTACACCGCAACACAACTCTACAATTTCTAAGCCTCAACCCTAAGGCTCAGCATGGCCCCGAAGCCCCATTTAGTACGGTAAATGGTATTTGAGCCCGAAAGCCTTGTAATATGAGTCCTACATGGGTAGTTGTCAAAATTGTGGTACGTTGTTTGGGGTCCTTATAATGAGGATCCTACTATTTAGGGTACCATATTAGGGTCCCCCAATTTCGGAAACCCCCACATGTCTAGAGGCCTAGAAGTTAAACGGTGTATTGCACCAGGAAACCAATGACACCCTGGACCCAAACCTTAAGGTTCAGGTTTAGGGTTTAGGGTTTCAGGGTTTACCTGTAGCCGAAAAGACCTACCTTATTAGGGTTCCTTATTGCGCTGTCTATATATAGTTCCTTACAAGGGTAGGTCTTTTCGGCTACAGGTAGGGCTTAGGTTTCATAGTGGGGTCCAAGTGAAGCTCGAGGTCCTCCACGTTGACCCCCCCAAATCCTCGTAGCCTACAGTAAAAGCCCAAAAGTTGGAAACCCCATAGCCTCAATCCTTAACAGTAATGTTTAGGGAATCCCAGCACTATTTGGCCTTAATCCGGTTTCCAACTTTATGGGGATTACTGTAGGTCCTAGACACGGGACCCGTTGCCTGACTTTGCAGGTATGCATGCGGGTTAGGGTTTAGCGTTTGGGGTTTTCGAATCGCAAATAGGTAGAGATATACAAGCTACAGCTAGCCTTCTTACATGCTGTATGTCAGCTTTGTCTAATGCACTCAAACACAAGGCCTTTGAGAGTCGGCTTTTCAAGATAAGTTTTCTGCTTTCTGCAAGTCGTAGGTTTCCAGCATGTCCGAAGGTGAAGGAACCCTAAACCCCTTAAACCTAGACCCTGAACCCTACACCCCAAAGAGTTCAAGGTTTGGGTGCCCTGGGGTTCGGGATTTTTTGGCTCGGGCTCGTAGGGCTCAGGGGTTTAAAGCTGCAGGGTTTGCCCGGGTTTCGGGTTTAAAGGGTTTAGGGCTCAAAGGGTTTAGGGTTTACGGGGTTTAGGGTTTATTAGGGTTTTGACATCTACTGGTTCAGCGTTTTCTGGGTTTAGGGTTTAGGTGCTTGTTCAGCGTCAGGGAACTTGCTGTGCTCTGACAGCCTCTGCCACAGGCCATCAAGAAGGATGAAACTCCAAAAGGAAGGCGCATCCAGCCCTGAACCCTAAACCCTAAAACCCCCAAACCCCTTCACCCCAAACCCCTGAATCCTATGCCCAAAACCCTAAACCTCTCAACCCCAATAATAGCCTCAAAAGCTGCAGCCTTCCGATTTATGTAGTTATGTAAATTGCTAGACCTTACCAACTTCTCAAAGGTCCGACATCCACGGGCCTTGCAACGGTCTTAATGAGGTCCCCGTAAACTCATAAACCCCAAACCTAGTCGTTACCTTCTGCCCTTGTCTTACGAGACTCCTTAGCACTCTTAATCGCAAAGGCTTTGGAGAAGCTGACCTTGCCTACCTACGCTTCAGAGGTTAGGGTTTGGGGAACTGAAGATCAGATCTGATGCCTTTTGGGTGCCGGGACTTTGGGTTTACAACCAGAATGTAGCAGCATACTGAAAGCCTAAGGCCTACACTCTAAACTCCCCCGAAACGTATTCGGCACCTGTTTTGCCACACACATCCCCTGGATTCGACTTCCTCCGCACCTTTCAGTTCAGCCTGCCCAGTTTGGTCTAGCAGAGGTAGCTGTTCATAGATACTACTGCGGGCCTTCACTTACCATCAACTTTGGCTGAAACCACAAGTCCTGACACTTTAAATAAACCCTAGCCTTAACTCTAAACCCGCCAACTCAAACCCTCGCGACCTCCCCCACCAACTCAGGAAAGAGGCTTGCTGCCCCAGAAACCTGAGCTAACACAAAGCAGGGTTTAGGGTGGGTTTAGGGTCTGGGGCTTTTTTGTTGGCACTCGGAAGCAGGGGTGCGGAAGTTTCGCCACTGCACCCACCTTGAATAGCGTAAACCCTTTGATATCACGCTAAGAAATTTCCGAACCCCATTGACCTAAACACCAGGCAGGCTTCGTCTGCCTCTAAACCTTCCAGCCTTCCGAAAATGCGATTGTGGGCCTGGCTTAGGGTTTAGTGTTTAGGGCACAGTGCGTAGGCTTTAGGTTTCAGGGCTTACTTAGGGTGTAGGGCTTTGGGTTTAGGGTTCCCAACAGGGGTGCGTGCTTTTCAGGCCCGGTAGCGAACGAGCTGACTCCTATGGAATCTTGGCCGACTTTCCGATAGAAGAGGGTTTGGGGTTGGGCTTCATCATCAGGCAGGTATTTTTTCAGACTCGAGTTCATCTTGCTGAGCTCAGATACTGCAGAAGCCTGATCAAGAAACTCGGGCTTGCTAGGGCAAGACTCTTTTCAAGGATTACGTCCTTTCGGGGACTTAGAACCACGGATTTCCGGACCAGGTTCCTAGACTGTTCATGGCAGGAGGTACTGAATCCCAGTGGAAAGCCGGATCTCGAACTAAGCCCTGAACCGTCCATAGGATGACAGACCAGTTTGCTCGCTGTCTAGGGTTGAAGGTGTTGGGTTGAGGGGGGGTTTAAGTTTGAGGGGTACAGGTTTTGGTTTTAGAGTTTAGGGTGTAGGGCTCAAGGTTTAGGCTTGTCTCAAACTACCTGTGACTTTGTGCCCTACTCCCTAAACCCCAAAAGCCGGCCACACAGAGTCAAAGCGAAACACGCAGCCCACCCTAAGAGAGAAAGCCTAAGGGTCCATGTGCCCAAACAGTGTACACTTTGGCTTTAAAGTACTCCCTATATAGGTACGTTGGGACCAAAGTATATGTTATTTGGGTGCATGGACAGTTAGGGTAATGCCATTCAAGAGACGCCCCGAAACGCACGTTAACTACTCTTGGCTCAGTCTTGTACTGTAGCTAGGTTTTCCAGCTATCTTTGTGGGCTGTCTGGGTTGAGCCTTGCAATTGGGGTTCAGGGTATGGGTAGGGATCTAGATGCCGCAAGACCTAACTTCCTCGCAGGGAGGCCCCGCCAACAAGCAAATTCGCAACCTGCAAGCCTGAAATACCCTAACCCTCACCCTAAGCAACTGCTGACCAGCACAACCAGCCCAAACACTTACATTTGATGAAGCCGTAGATTTTGTACTATGAGTGTTTTTGACTTCAGAGTTTGGGGTGTAGGGTTGAGGGCCACAGGATCCTACGGTTCCCTTACATAGATCCCGAAGCTCTAAAAGAAAGATGTCCATCTTGTGCGCTCATGAAGCCATAAGGACGCAATCATTTCCAGGGTTTAGGGTCGAGGGTTTATCTGTAGCAGAGGCTGGGTTCGAAAAGGGTTTATGGGAAGGTAAATCGCAGGTGCCAGCATATCCGCAAAAGCATGACTTAAGCTATTCGGCCGGTCCCTTTCTTCTGGGCCAGTCTTGATAATTGCGATCCTTCGGACACTATGCACTTTGGGGTCTGGGAACCAGTGTATTCAACCATTCAACCCTGTAAGACCCTAGCACTGCCGTATAAAGACTCTGCCTCTCTCTCTCTCTCTCTCTCTCTCTCTCTCTCTCTCTCGCTCTAATTCTCCATATATGTACACATACACTTACACACATATACATACACACACACACACATATTACATGTGTATATATATATATGTGGATACAGTACCCGCCCAATACGCGAAATCCATTCTGTCCCGAGGACTCAACACGCTCCGGGCCTGTGCACTCTGGCGCCAGTGCGAGGCAATGGAGCGTAATGGGAGTTGGGAGTTTCCTAAAATGAGGGACCTAATATAGTACCCGAGATAGCCCAACTAAGGTACCCTTATAATTTTCGGAAACTCCCAGTTGGGTGCGTTTTTTGTACGGTTTCGTGCTCAGCCTCTAGCGTTCAAGCTTAGGGGATTCCACATGGGAGTTTGGCTTTACCGAAGGTGTGTGCATGCCGGAAATGAAGCACTGGTGCAAGACGGTTCTTTCATAATTAAAGCATCGGGCTGCGGCATTGTCGTGACAATCCTTATGCTAGGCTGTCTTGCGATTGGCTTACTATTACACCTTCAGCACCAGGCCTCACACCAAACTCTAAACCGTCAAACCGCCGCAAACTCAGATGGACCTAGGTTCTAATTCGATCCAAACTCCGAAGACAATACACCCAGACAGCCGTGGCTCTGCTTAGAGGATCATGGGACTTAGTAACTAGGGTTATAATTAAGGTCATTATACTTGTAAATATAGCGCCAGGTACTTATAACCATGCTTACTAAGTCCCATGATCCTCCCATTACAGAACCCTTATAGTAGAACCCTTATAGATCCCTATAAGGAAACCCTACCATGGAACCCTATAGTACCCTAAAAAGGAACCCTAAACCATACTTACTAAGTCCCATGATCCTCCAAGTGCAGGTATATGTTGACCTCGTCGAGGACCGCTCGATTGGGCGGTGTTTGGATCGAGCGCTCGGTTCAGGGCTTTGGGTTTAGGGTTGAGGGTTTAGGGTTTCGGGTTTAGGGGTTAGGATTTAGGGTTTAGGGTTTAGGAGAGCCTATGTGATTACGACTCAAGAGTTAAGGGTTTGGGCTGTTTAGGATTTTCAGGGTTCAGGAATTTTGGAAGTTCAGGAGTTTAGGGGTGTTGGATTGAGCCACGAGCCGTGCGCCAGAAACTCATCCTAATTCTGACTTGATAAACCTTACACCCCCAACCCATACACCTCAAACTAAACCCATGAGCCCCAAACTCTGTATATCAGACCCTCAACCCTAAAATCCCTAAGCCCTAAACCCCAAACCCTGAACCGCAAGCCCAAACTCCAAAGCCCAAACCCCCCCTAGACCCTAAACCCTAAACTCTAAACCCTAAACCCTAACCCCTAAACCCTAGACCCTAAACCCTAAACCCTAAACTCTATACCCTAAACCCTAAACTCTAAACTCTATACCCTAAACCCTAAACCCCCAGGCCCAAGCTCTAAGCCAGAAGCCCAAGGAGCTGGTCCACTACTTTCACCACAAGCAACCGAAGGGCGATGGGGCGATCCTGATCTTCTTGCCAGGCGCAGAGCCTATGTAGGGTGTTAGGAGTGTTTAGGGATTTAGAGTTTAGGTTTTAGAGGTTGGGGCTTTGGGCTTTGGGTGGTTTGGGGTTTGGGTTTTGGGCTTGGGTTTTGGGGTTTAGGGAGGTTCAGGGTGTTTACGGGTTTAGGCTTTTGGGTTTTAGGGTGCAGGGTGTGGGTTCAGGGTGACAGGTGTCGCTGCCCTCTTTGGAGTTGGCTTGAGGAGTGACGCCTTCGCAAGTTAGAGGTCTGGGTGGGTTGTCAGGAGTAATTAGAAAGGTGTCAACAAGGCTTCCTTGTTAGGTTGTTTTTTTCTTTCCGTTTTGGTGCCTTTTCGGCGGTTCAGCATGATGGCCCCTTCATGGCTTGCACGTGTAAGCGAGAGCGTCGCAACCTGGAAGCACGAGCCCCAAACGTGTGTGTGTGTTCTGTCGCGCAGACCTAGAGCTGAAAGTCACAAAGCGCTGTGCCTGCGCATGTTCAGGCTGGGGCGACATCACGAAGACGTACATCCGCCTCTACCAGTCAGGCCACATCATAGGAAGCACTGCCTGGGGATTTAGTTCGAAATATTCAGTGTGAGCTGGCGAAGTTGACCTTACCAGCATAAAGACACCGTTTATCTACTAGATACTGTAGACCTTCTTACTAGCTTGATTTAAGTTCTGTAAAGACGCGGTCTGTTTTGTACTTCAGTATAGATCCCTGTTATGGTACCTTCCATTATGTAAACTCTTGAAGAAGAACCTCACCCCAAACAGCTTGTGGAAGATCCTTGCCAACATCCGTCTCAGGCACCTGCGGAAGACAGGATTTAATTACAGCTCTTTGGCGGAAGCTTCTAGATTGACCCTGTTCCAAATCAGGCACTGTTCAACCCTAAAGCCCTACAGCCGAAAACCCTAAACCTTGATATCACCAATCCTGCTCATACCCCAAAAGCCGTTAACGAGCATGGAAAATCAAGTCAGGCAAGCAGGTTTCAGACCTTCAGGAATTAGGATATTCTTAAACGGTGGGTTCCACTTGTGTACTAGCTTGCATAGTGAAGTTCCCTAATCTTTCTACATCCTAAGCCCTTAACCCTAATAAACCCTAAACCCTAAACGCATGTTTGCGTAGCTGGTTCTCTGAAACTCCCACTTGCCTCGGAGCTTGATACTGAACTTGTGGCGGACAGACAGCTCGAAGCCCCAAACTGTGTGACATACACCTCAAATACCCTAAGCCTTACACCACCTAGGTTTAGATTTTGAGTTGTGGTGGGGTATAATATCTTCCAACTAACAGTGTGTTTAGCTTCTTTGGGCCTGGGGCTTGGGGTTTTGGATCTATGCGGCAGGGCTGAAGGAATCGAAGCACTCGGGCTGGACAAACGACAAACTCCTACAGCCTGAACCCTCAAATGCTAAACCCGTTGCGTAAGGGCTTCAATTTGACTAACAGTATTCCTATAGGCTCCTGTTTGGGATGACAGCATAAGAACCTGCACACAGACATTAAGGAATTGTGCAAACCTCCTACGTTCTGACCTGTGTCGACCCGGTGCAGGCCTTCAAAGCTTGTCTAACCTTGAAGTCCATAGGCTTTAAGTTCTAAGGTGTAGGAGTCTATGAGTTCAGGGTTTGTCAGAAGATGTCGGCCCCCAGGTGAGAATTACAAACTCATCACTCTGCACTCCCTGATGACACCGGAGCAGCAGCACGAGGATCGAATAGGAGTCGGGCTTCTGACGGTGATCGAAGGTTTGAGACTTATCTTAAACCCTAAACCCTTATTATCCCAAAATCCTAAACCTTACCTGGACCCCAAAAGTTTGTAGAATAATGGCCCTTTATAGGTTTTGGACCATGATTTTACCTACTCTTGGGGGTTTGGGTAAGGGCCTTCAAGGTTTGAGGTTCAGCTTTCGGGTCCGGGACCTAGACGGTTCAGGGCTCGGGTTTCGAAGCTTGCGGTGTAAGTGATCTAGTTATAAAGAGTTTAGGGTTTAGGGATAGGTCCGGGTTGATTCTCTTCAGGCATTCCCAGGAAGTAGCTTCTAGTGGCAGCCTGTACTGCAAAATTCAATTTAACCTGCATGGTGCGGTTGGTAGCTAATCCAAGAAGTGCAGTTGCTGATGACATGCCAACCTGCAGCGCTGGGGAGTGGAAGGCGTTCATGGCCGCTTCCTACATTTAGTTGCCATGCATCCTCACTCCAAGCCCCTCCTGCTGCGGTACAACCTGAAGTGTAGTGTGCCGCATTTGGTTTAAGTTCGTCCTTCGTCCCCTTTGAGTGTGCCAAGACTCTGGCAAGGCCTTCGAGAAGCCGCCTGCAGGCTATCGAAAGGCCACCACTGTGTAAGGAAATTGGTTGTTGAAACGCTGCTCAGCTTTCTTGAAGGTCACGCGAAACATTAATGTGTCGCACTGTGGATGCCAACGCCACAAATATGCGTATAGTCATGCCATCACATGAGGAGTGTTATGCCTTCGTATACCAGGGCAATGCCTGCATACACACACACACACAATCACATAATGCACACATGCATGCATGCCTACATGCATGCATACATGCATACATATGTCTCTGATTTACTACAAAGCACCAAAAAGATCTCATTAAAACGGCCCCAGTATCACGCATTCTTAGCACACTCTGTAATGCCACGGAGGCTGAAGCAGCCTATTATGGCTTTGAAGCTCAGAACTTAATGCTTTCATGCTTCTGGGTTTAGCATTTGGGAGTTTCCGAAATTAGGGGTACCATAGATTGGGGCGCTTATATAAGGATCCTACTATTTAGGGTACTATATTAGGTCCCCTATTTTCGGAAACTCGGGGTTCAGGGCTGTAGGTCCAGGCTTGCGGGCTTTGATGCTTCGGGTTGAGCTTTCACGGGGTCGGAGCGAGGGAGCTCCTTAGCCTCTTTAAGCTGAGTGCCTGAAATGTCATTATGTGTTCTAGTATATACTAATTATGGTATTATGGTATTGTACTTATTAGTAGTACAGTATTATAGGATTATAGTATTATGCCTTTCACACAGACCTTGGAGACGACCAAAACCAAGAACATTGCCCCCCAAGCCTCCGGCTTGAGTTTAAGTATTGGTGCTACGGGGTCTGGGATGTTTCCGAAAATAGGGGACCCGAATATAGTACCCTAAATAGTAGGATCCCTATTATGAGGACCCCAACATAAGGTACCCCCTTATCTTCGGAAACTCCCATTTTGGTCTCGCCAGGTTGAAGAGCTCAGGTTTCAAATGTTGTAGGGGGTTAGGCGCTCCTACGTAGCGCTGTTCACCCTGAAGACCCAAAAAGAAGCAGAGGGTCAGCAAAATGCTTCCTCGCCGGAGAAGCTTGTTTGTCAGATCGTGCTCTCCACCAACATCGCAGAAGCCTCTGTGACCATCGACGACGCCGCTTGGCCTCAAGGGTTGGGGGTTTTAGGGTTCCGAAACGGTTCGGTTGAACCCTGCCTTAAAGCCCTAAGCCCTAAGCCCACCAGCAAAGGCGAACGTGCCGAGCATTGGATGCTGGTAGGCAAGACTATGTCGAATTTTGGTTTCAGGGTTTGCTGTCAGGGGTCAGGAGGGGTTGGTCTTTGGGGCTTAGGGTTAGGGTTTAGGGTTTAGGGTTTAGGGTTTAGCGTGTAGGCAGTAGGTTCCCGAGCAGTAGGTATACCCCCTTTTCGTGTCAGGGTTTTTCTTTCCGCACTGAAGTTTGGCGAAACCGATGCCATTTTTGTTATTGTGGCATTGAGGCACCCAGCTTCCAGAATCGTTGCAGAAGCCTCATGCGGTAAACCCCTATAGCAAGCTTGATACAGGTCCCACAAGACCTGAAACCCTAAACCCTGAACCCTAAGCCCGTAGAGCCCTTGTACAACCTCTTACAAATATCTCGCGGTTTCCAGGTTTCTCTGACCTGTCAGCATCGAAGACTTGCGCAGCAGTTCCAGATGCAATTTATAGGTTCTAGATGTTATTATAATTACCATGGAGATCCGAATATTTGAGATAGCACGCTTTTGCAGTCGGCATGCTGTATTGTATGGGGCTTACCCTGGGGATCAAAATAGCCCAAAAGGCTTATATATATATATATATATATATATATATATATATATATATACTATGGTCTTTGGGCCCAAAAGCCTTGATATACGAGTCCTTAGATCCCTAGGGTTAGGGTTTTGGGCACTACATGACCAGCTCAACACCCATAAGAGGCGAAGAGATGTTGCTCTGACCGACACACATTTTGGGACCACGGCGTCGACTTGGGGTTGGGCTCCAGTGTTTATAGAGCTTAAGAGTCTACCTCAACCCACCAAAACCTAAAGTTTTGCAGGTTCTTATTATGAACCTAAGATGGTTTTAAGGGGGGGCTCTACAGAAAAAGTAGGCTTTGGTGGGATAAGGTAGTGTTGAAAGCTTCCTCGCTCAAGGGTTTAAGGCTTCAGGGTTTTAGGTTTCAGACTAGGTGGTATTCGACTTGCACTGAGAGCCAGGTCGTTTACGTCATCGACACAGGTGTGCGAAAAGAGCGCACTTACGACGCAGGCGGAGAAAGCCCAAGACCTTAAACCGGAAGCCCCGAATTCTGGGCCCTAAACAACTAACCCGAGGCCCCAAACTTCTCAGTCGGACCCACACGTTGCCCAAGACTTTGCAGTAATGAATAGAGGGGTCGGAACAACCAATATTGATGTTATTCCCCTTTGCTGCTGATCTCCGTTTTGGTCTTGAGGCCCCCAATATAGAAGGCGAATTACTTACCAGTGTTATTCTTTCGGGTTCCTCATGAAAACATTTACACTTTTAGGAGGCCAACACCCTGTTCCAATTATGACGGCCCCCACATTCCCTAAGGGTCCATTAACCTAAATAGTGTATACATTGGACTTAAAGTACTCGCTATATGGGTACATTGGGCCCAAAGTATATATACCATTTGGGTACATGGACCCTCAGGGATTATGGCCCCTCATCTTCCAATTGATCGGACGGTCGCCGTGCTAACGCAGGCTAGTTCCAGATTACTGACGACTCAAAAAAGGCAGTGAGTATGAGAAATGCTAGGGGCGAAACCGTAGCTCGAGCCCAAAGAAGCAGTGCAGCAGATAAATCTGCAGCCACAATTGCTTTAAGAAGAGTTCATTTAGGTTGCTAAAGTCCTTCAAAGATCCGGCATTTGGGGCCCTAAGGCCTTATGCGTTCGTTTTCCCTGCGTCACGATGATCCCAAAGGGTCCTAGGTATAGTTTTTGGGGATACGTCCCAAGATCAGTATAGTAATTCCTAGTATAGAAACCCTACATCCTACTCTCCCTCTCTCTGTCTCTCTGTCTCTTTGTCTCTCTCTCTCTCTCTATCTCAGTCTCTATCTTCTCTATCCATCTATATGTGGGTTTCCGAAAATAGGGGACCCTAATATAGTACCCTAAATAGTAGGATCCTTATTTAAGGACCCCAAGATAAGGTACCCCCCCCCCAAAAAAAAATACGGAAATTCCCATGTATAGAGGTACTTGGGAGCCCTTTCGGGATGAAGCCCGGAGCACCTCAGCCAGCAGGCACGGGCATCTCAGCCCTGGATGCGAAAATGGTGACGAAGGTCCAGGGGATCGTAGTTTAAGGGTTCAGGGTTTAGGGTTCAGGGTTTAAGATTTAGCGTTAACCTTAACCCTGAAGAACCTACTCTTTTAAGGACTTATATAAGGAAATCATAATAAGGAACCCTAAAAAGGTAGGTTATTCAGGGTTAAGGAAGGGTTTAGGGTTGATTCAGGGTTTAGGGTCCAGGGTTTAGGGCTTAGGGTTAAGGTGCCAGGGGTATGATTGTCCACCACTTGGGAATTACTACGGATCTTCAGCTTGGAAAGCCTAGGACATACTGAACACTTATGTTCGGGGCTTAGGCATAGTCGTTGCGCACCGAAGGCGCATTCCTTCCTCCAGGAATGGCTTCTGGCGAAGATGAAGTGTCACAAATCCGGCACGAACCATGAACCCTCCCAACCGTCGACCCCGAGTCGGAACCTCAAGCAGTCCCCCAACATAGAGGCTGGACGTTTCTGTGTAGTAGGCGTATTTCGCGTGATTCCCTCGTATATCATGTTTCTCTCCTTGGTCTTTTTGCTCCGCCTCCTGTGTTCCAAGGCAGACCCAAGACCAAAGCTTAGGTTTCAAGGAAAGGCTCATGAGGCTCCTCCACGATCCCCAGCTCCTACTTAGCAGATCCCCCGAGCCCAAAAGGCCTGCACCACAAAAGTTGAACCCTACTAGGCTCCTCAGCGGTACCCTCTTGCTCTTTTCGTTTTGTGGCCTCCTTATTGAAACAGAATATTCGGAAGAAGGACTACCCTTATGATTGAGGGCTACTCAGGAGCTTAGCCTGAATTCTACGCTGCTACACCCCACACTCCACAGTGCCCTAAGCCCTAGCCCTCCACCTCTAAAGCCGAGCCCCAAGATGTAGCTCTGACATAAGGGTCTGATCTATACTGTAAGGGAAGGCCCTTACGGAACCCGGGCGAGAGCCTCATGCTTCAATTTTGATAGGGTTCAGGGTTTAGGGTTATTGAGGCTTTATTTACTGCTTGAGGGGTTTAGGCCCCCGACCCCAAACCCTGAAAAAACCCTAAACCTTAAACCCTAAACCCTAAACCCCTGAACCCTAAACCTTAAACCCTAAACCCTTTTGAACCCTAAGCCTTAAACCCTAAACCCTAAACCCCTGAACCCTAAACCTTAAACCTTAAACCCTAAACCCTTTTGAACCCTAAGCCTTAAACCCTAAACCCTAAACCCTTTTAACCCTAAGCCTTAAACCCTAAACCCTTTTAACCCTAAGCCTTAAACCCTAAACCCTTTTAAACCCTAAGCCTTAAACCCTAAACCCTTTTAACCCTAAACCTTAAACCCTAAACTCTTTTAAACCCTAAGCCTTAAACCCTAAACCCTAAACCCTAAACCCTTTTAAACCCTAAGCCTTAAACCCTAAACCCTTTTAAACCCTAAGCCTTAAACCCTAAACCCCAAAAGCCCAAATGCATGGAATCCGAGCTGTGAGGCAAACGCCATCCAGAGGCGAGGCCGCGCGGGCCGATGCCAGGACTGCCCTTGAAACTTAGGGGTTTAGGGTTTAGGGGTGGGGGTTTAGGGTTCAGGGGTTTAGGGTTTAGGGGTTTAGGGTTTAGGGGTAAGGGTTTAGGATTTAGGGTTTAGGGGTTAGGGTTTAGGGGTTTAGGGTTTAGGGGTCAGCGTTTAGGCTTTAGGGTTTAGGGTTAAGGATTTAGGGTTTAGGGGTTTTCGGGTTTAGGATTTAATTAGGGTTTAGGATAGTGAACGGGGGAACTTTAAACTTTTTGGCCTTATATGTTAGCTCTATCTTAGAGAGTTTGAACTTTTTTGGGGGGCCGGTTGTTGAAGAAAAAGATGTACTTGACAATACTTGAAAGTTAGACGGACTCCAACTCCCAGTCCTGGGCTTTTGGGCCCAAGGACCGCGGTTTGTGGTTTAGTGGTTTAGGGGTTTAGGGGTTTAGGGTTTAGGGTGCTTTTGAGCCTCCGGGTAGCCCTACGCGCCAAAACAAAATAAATCGAAGCCGAAATGACGTGTGCTTAAGTACAAAGCCAAACCTAGGCCCGTATGTTGCACCCCTCAACCCAAAGAGTTTGAGAGTCTGAGAGCTTGTAGGGTTCCGCTCAAAATAGAGGCGAGGACGTGGCCATGGCATCCGCGGTCTAGGTCATGGTTTAACACATTTTGTTGTCTGAGGGCTTTCCCGACAGCGCAAACGAGCAATTATCCCGTAACGCTTTGGCATGGGATGTGAGGGTCACGGTTTAATGTTGAGTCTGTCCTGGTGGCTACTCTTTTTGGAGTTTCCGAAAATAGGGGACCCTAATTGTACCCTACATAGTAGGATCCATAGTATAAGGAGCCCAAGATACGGTACCCCCGTTGTCGGAAACTCCCATATATGCTCAAAGCTTGACAGGCTTTTGTGACACGCATAAGGATGGAACACTAACCCCCTTGGCATCAAAAACACAAGTGTCTACACGCAGACCATCGTTGCATCAAAGGGCTCAGACTACTGGGTGTGGTAAGCGCCAAGAAAGCAAACCCGTCAGTCAGACTCTGCGCACGCATTACTGATATTGATTGAATTTGCCGTAGGTCGCTAGTGATTATTCCGTTCTGGCATGGGGTTTGATGGACAGAAAGCCAGAATCACCAGCGTAGCAAAATACGGTGAGTAGTGACAGTGATGAGGCCATGGGTAATTATTGCAGATCATGGAAGACTACATGGAGGTTCATGGGTAGTCATAAGTGGGCTTCTAAGTCCCTTAATAAGGGTTATAAGTATAGTTACCTTACTTAAAACCCCCAGTTATAGCTCCCCATGAACCTCCAAGAAGCCTAGCACGAACTCTACATAGAAGCTTCCTACGGCACTGCCCCACACCCTAAATGGGCGTTTCCGAAAATTAGGGGTACCTTATTTTGGGGTCCTTATAATAAGGATCCT